TTAGATGGGCCTTGGCGCCTGAGCTTCTTTGAGGCAGGTTGAGAAATTACCATTTTAATGTAAAATAGATCCCTCAGGCTAATGTACCAGGCTATAGCAGAACCAAGGACGGAACTAGCAGGAAGCTTAGCTGGTTAACGTAAACATTATTTGCATCCAGTATTTTGGTCTCAAGGATCAGGGAGGACAGGGTCCCACACCCTTTCCACTTAAACCTATGAACATCTTTCCTAAAGATAGGAGCAACTCCATGGTCTATACCCAGGTGGCCTTTCCTCCAGGATCTGTCTCCTCCCCTCTTTAACCAGATTTTCTGAAGGTTTCAGCAGCATCCTGTCTACCACTCTTCTTTCCCCCAACACAATCCTTGTCGTATAATTGGTGTAGGAGGCCCTTCTGTATTTGTGTTGCTTTCATTGGTTATTAAACTGCCTTGGCCTAGTTGATAGGGCGGATCTCAGGTAGGCATGGAAGAAAGAACAGAATTCTGGGAGAAAGAAGGCAGTGTGGCAGACACCATGAATCTCTGGCCTGAGACTGATGTAGCTTAGAATCTTCCCGGTAAGCCACAGTCACGTGGTGATACACAGATTTAACAGAAATGGATTAATCAAGATGGGAGAGTTAGCCAATAAAAGGCTAGATATAATTGGCCAGGCAGTAATTTAATTAATACAATTTCTGTGTGATTATTTTGGGGTTAAGCTAGCCAGGCGGCCGGGACAAAAAAGCCCCCCTCCGCTTCTCCTTTTACAACATATAATAAATTCCAGTCTACAGAACTTTTCATCTCTTAATTTAGAACCCCAGTATTCATTTTTACTTTATGTCTATAATGCTTTAACTATCTTTGTTGAAGCCCAGCTTTATCTATACAGTAGCCAGGACAGGCAGATTATGGGACATAAACACACTAACATTCTTTAGCCTTTCCTTACATTGTTTATGCTGTCCTTTTGGTCATTCCTTCATTCAACCCACATTCACGGGTTACCACCTCGTTCATAACTGTGAAAAGAGGTAAGAAGCACATAATAACTACAACCCAGTCCGTGACTGATAAACCACATGAACCCATAAGACAACCCATGACTCAAAAGAGAATTGGATTTTTAAAATTCATTTTATTGAGCTATACATTTTAATCTGTTCCCCTCTCTTTATCCCTCCTCCCTTTCAACCCTCTCCTGTGTTCCCCATGCTCCCAATTTACTCAGGAGATCTTGTATTTTTCTACTTCTCATATAGTTCAGATTCATGTATGTCTCTCTTAGGGTTCTCATTGTTGTCTAGGTTTTCTAGGATTGTAAATTATAGGCTGGTTTTCTTTGTTTTATGTCTAAAAGCCACTTATGAGTGGATACATATGATATTGTCTTTCTGGGTCAATATGATGTTTTCTAGATCCATCCATTTGTCTGTAAATTTCAGGATGTCATTGTTTTTTTTTATGCTGTATAGTACTCCATTGTGTGACTATACCACATTTTCCTTATCCATTCTTTGGTCAAGGGGAATTTAGGTTGTTTCCTGGCTCTGGCTATGACAAACAATGTTGCTATGAACATAGTTGAGCCCATGTTCTTGTGGTACAATTGAGCATCCTTTTGGTATATACCCAAAAGTGGTATTGCTGGGTCTTGAAGAAAGTTTAAAATGGAATCTCAGAGTTGTTTTGATTTGCATTTCTCTGGTGGCTAAGGATGTTGAGTATTTCCTTAAGTGTTCTCCAGCCATTTTAGATTCCTCTGTTGAGAGTTCTCTGTTTAGGTCTGTACTCCATTTTTTATTGGATTATTTGTTCTTTTGATGACCAATTTCTTGAGTTCTTTGTATATTCTGGATATCAACCCTCTGTGTGATGTGGGGTTGGTAAAGATTTTCCCATTCTGCAGGCTGCCGTTTGTCTTGTTGACCATGTCCTTTGCTTTACAGAAGCTTTTCAGTTTCTCTGTGTCTGTGCTACTGGGGTTATATTTAGGAAATGATCTCCTGTGCCAATGCATTCAAATGTACTTCCCACTTTAAGAGAACTGTTTTATTCCAAAAAGCAAGAGATAGTAAGGGCCATTATTACAGCTCTTTATTGGAAAATCAGAACAGAGATAAGATAGTAGCAGCAGGCAAACCTTTCCATTTATTGACAAGTCTGTGTGTTCTGGGCAGCTATGTAAAGTAGAATTATTTGTGTTAATAGAAGGGCTAGTTTTTAAGAACCATTTTCATTGCTAAAATTAAAATGGTAGAGAGTAGAGCTTTAGTCTTATAAGAAAAAAAGCATTGTCTTCTGTTGATGGGAAGAGATACCATTGTAAATCATGTCTCTTACTTTAGTGAGGACTGATTTTTTTTTGACTGAAGCTATCTCACTATGTTGTCTTTCTCTGTTCCCAATTACCGACACCAAACCATCTCAACAAAGAATCATTATTTGAAGTTACTCAACCTCAGAGCTGTGCTTGCTCACCTCAAGATCGCCTTATCATGAAGGTGACTGTACTAATGACAGTTATCATGAGTAACTCGAGAGTTCTCTAATGGACTTCACTAAGTCCAACTCTTCGCAAAATGTGAACTTCTAAATGCATTCTGCTTCTCTGAATTTATCTAGATTTTTGGGGGGGAGAAAATGGCCAAAAGAAAAGAGACAGCTCTAAACAAAATCTATGACATTTTTTGTTATGATGGTTCAGTGGCTAATAGCTGTACGCTTGGCTTGTTTGTGGGGATTCCAATTTCAGTTTTACTTTGATCTCTGTCTTAAAGAGGGCTAGCAGACCCCATCTTAAAAGGAATAGGTTAGGAAGAGACAGATGCTTCAGCTTCTGAAATACTTGCTCTGCAGGCATGAGGGCCTAAGTTCAACCTCCAGAATTCTTAGCAAAATAAACAAGAGCAAAAAAAAAAGCAGTGTGGTGCTGCCTGCTTGTGATTCGAGCGCCAAGGTGACCCTAACTCCTGCCGAAAGATCCCGTATCCAAAAAGAAAGGAGATGAAACTTGTGAAAAAAACAAAAAACAAAAAACAAAAAAAAACATGAGATTATCCTCTGGCATCTACAAGGAGAGGGGGGGGAATAAATTTAGTAAATTTTACATTAATTTTCATTCGCAAGGAGGTAATAAATCCATTCCTAAAGATAACCCAGGGAAGAGGGAGGGAGTGATGGAGTGAGTGATGGTTCCTTATTCAAAACTTTAGTCCTCGAGACTATTAAAAGCACTTATTCCTACATCAGAATTATCAATTTGTTCTTTAACTGATTAGCTGTTTGTATACTTTGCATGTACTGTGCATGCCAGGTGCTCAGGAATACACAACATGACATTAGGGCCTTTGTTTTCTAAGACCTTCTAACTTAGAGAAAGATGGTTAACAGGTAAAAGCTTGAATTTCCATGGAAGGTTCTAGATTCTTTCTCATAAAATCATTTTAAAATGCACAGGCTCAATTAGTAAGCCAAAACAATACTTTCCAAAAATTACCTTTTGACCTCTAAGCATGCACCAAGGTGGACACGCCTGGAGATTTTATTGATGTTATTGAAATCATTCATTATAAAAATTTTCTCTAGCAACTAGTCAGTTCATTCATTTCCCACTTAAAACTCTATTTATAATAAATATTTATAATATAATAATTTACATTTATAATATAATAATTGCAAGCAACATCATAAAACTTGTCCAGTTCTCAGACTGATATTTTCCTGGAATGTGACAATAATAAGAAGAAAATTTTATCTGAACTCTTTCTCTTTTTATTTATTTGTTTGTTTTGACTATAAAAAAAACTGTCGGTTCCACCTCCGAAGGTATCATGGCAATAACATCAATAACTGGAAATGGAAGCTAAGGTCAAACGGTAAATCACTGGCTATTTTGTTTCTGTAATTAACAAGCCAAAGAGACGGCAGGTCATTTCCTTTAACACTCTCTTTCATTGCTGCCCTTCAGGAGGGATGGAGAGGCAGCACTCTGCTCTGTTCTTCCATGAGTCACAGCTGACGGTGGAGAAAGTAAACCTTGTTTCTGCCTTCCTCTTCTCCGCTGCAGATCTTTAATCTTTACGGAACAAGTGGAAACAGCGCCTGGAGCTCCAGCGCCTTCCCTGGGACAGGTGCTAATGAGTAACAAGATGAGAAGGCAGCACCGGAGAGTGAGGACTTTCGCGTTTCGTGCAGAAGATAATCAAATCCTAAACAATTATAAGTTGATATCATAAGAGGAAGGAGGGCTTCTTTCCATAATTACTTTCTTCTAAAATAGAAGTAGCATTTCAACCCGTGATTTTTAACATTTCAGGACCAGATCCTTTCGGGAAACAAAATATTTACTGGTATTTTTGAAGTGCAGCTTTATTCAAAGGGCATCTTTTTCTGGAAATCTCCATCTATACGTTTTAGACACAGCCATTTTGAAACCAATCTATTCTCTTTCTTTTTTTTCCCGACTGACTGGTATATACCTCCTTCCAGGGAATTTTTCATTAAACCATTTCATATTATAACTTAGATGTCAAATTCTTCTCAGCTTAGTCTGAAGGACAGCTGAGCTAGTTGCTGGGCCAACACCACAAACAAATCCGTCATCTGTGTTCTCTCATAGGCCTGTTCTAACTGTTTGTTAGGTTTAAATCTACCTCTCCCAGGCCAGGTATTATTTCTTTTCTGTAATGATTGACTGAATACGTAAAAGAACGTTATCATCAAAAGTAAATTCAGTAATTCATTTCTCTGAAGATAAAAGCCAGGTTTGGAATATTGACCTCTATTGGAACTTCAGAAGTAAAGGCTCTGTGTGTTGGTACTCCCCGAGGTCACTATGGTAACATATAGAAGACAACATAGGCAAGGTTTCTTTTTATTATTATTATTTTTAAAAATTTTCACCTCCTCCCCTTATCCCATTTCCCTCCTCTCATTCCCCCTCCCCCTCCCTCTCCAGTCCAATGAGCAGTCAGGGTTCCCTGCCCTGTGGGAAGTTCAAGGTCCTCCCCCCTCCATCCAGTTCTAGGAATGTGAGCATCCAAATAGACTAGGTTCTCACAAAGCCAGTACATGCAGTAGAATCAAAACCCAGTGCCATTGTATAGGCAAGGTTTCTAAGCCCCACCAGTGTTTGACCTGCATAATTCTTTGCAGGGAAGGATGGGTAGGCTGTTCCGAGCCCTGTAGGATGTGGAAGTGACCCTGTATTCTCTCTTCCACTAAGGCGGCATTCCCCAAAGGCAACAGTCCAAATTCATCCAGATGATGTCCAACGCCTGCTAGAGAAGGGAATAAATTCACCCCTGAAAACCACTAAAAGAGAAAATTGTTGAATTCTTGGGGCAAAAGCTTCTTATTAATTCAGATATACATCGACTGTTAAACATAGAAAGTTGCTCTTTCTTTAGTTTCTGTGTGAATCATCTGTATGATTCTTTTTACTTATTCTTATTCAATATTTAATTAGTATTTTATTTTTATGTATGTCTCTGTGAGGGCATGGGATCCTGGAGTTACAGATGACTGTGAGCTGCCATGTGGGTGCTGAGATTTGAGCCTGTGTCCTCTGGAAGAGCAGTCACTGCTTTTAACTGCTGAGTCATCTCTTCAAACCCCATAATTTATTTCAAGACAGAGTTTCTTTGTAGAGCACTGGCTGCCCTGGAACTCACTTTAGACCAGGCTGACATCAAACTCAGAGATCTGCCTGCCTCTGCCTCCCGAGTGTTGGGGTTAAAGGCATGCGCCACCACTGCCTGGTTACCTGTATGATTATTCGACAGTATTTCCTAATTGTTTATAATCTTCAGTCTGCACAGTTTGTTCTCTCATTTACTTTTGCTCTCAATTTAGTTTATCAGATTAATTTATCTTTATCTATTTACATGTGCATATCCCTGCCTGAGTTTACATGGACCACAGGCATGCAGGTTCTCTTGGTGGCCAGAAGAGGACATCAGATCCCCTGATTTTGGAATGATAGGCAGTTGTAAACCAGTAGACGTGGGTGATGAGAACCAAACTGAGGTCCTCTACAGGGAAAGTAAGATCTCTTAACCGCTGATCCATCTTTTCGGTCACTCTTCTTATTTTGAAAAATGTATTATTTGAGAATTTTGTATGTGTATATAATGAAATATGATCATTTCCACCACCCATTTCCTCTCTCCAACATCTGCTTGATTCTCCTAACCCATCCTCCTCTCAAATTCCTCTTCTCCTTATTCTGTTTCTAGTAGTCCATTGAGTTCAGTCAGTGTTGCCACTTTGTTCATGTATGCAGGAGCATCAACTGGAACTTGGGCAAGCTACCAGCAGCCATATACTCAAGGGAGAGTGACTCTCACCTTCTGGCAACTATCAACTGCCAGTCCATCTGGGTATGTCCTCATGAGCTCCTCCCCCACTCCATGCTGACTTTCAGGTGGCTTGATCTTCTGCAGATCTTAAGCAGATCCCCACAGCTGCTGTGAGCTTGATAAGCATGCCACATCCAGGAAAACAGCTTTTTCCAGCACTTCTCCCCACCCTGAAAAGTTTTAAAAATTATGAAATCTTGCTGACCCTAACAGATCTTTCTTTATGAACTGTGAAATACAAGTCATACTGATGAAGTGCTGTATGTTCACTTGACTGCTTATCTGTAACCATTATCAGCTTCCAAAAGTGAAGCTTAGATCAGCTAAAATATAGGACTTCGGTTCAGTAACTGAGCTAGATAGAGGACGGGACATAAAAGGAAAGTGATTCTTTTTAATATGATAATTCACTATGGATGAACCAAGCATACGCTCCTGAGAAAACTTTCAGTTGGCAAACCATTCCCTTCAGGAATATTTTTTCCAATAAATCAGGATGGTTGCTTTCCTTCTGTTTCAAAAATGTACAACCTAAGAAGGGTTTAACGGTGAAAAGCCAAAATGTGTAAATCACATCTAACACAAAAGACCAATGGTAATCACAGTTTGCCTCTACCCCCTTCCCCAGGTCTAGGCAGCTTCTCATCCACAGTGAGTGACATACAGACCCATCACCCTCTCCAAACAAGTTTGTTTAAACTAAGTTCCCCACAAGGTAATGTTTACTGTTGGGCTTACAGATTGCATTTGGCATGGCATAGGGGTGTTTAGGAGACAATGCCTGAAAAGCATGGCTGTCATACCCAGGAAATGGAGTGCACTTGAGAGCTCCCGTGTATCACAGGTGATTTGAAACTGAGTAAAACGTGAATGGTAGATGTTTTCAAAACATAAGCAATAGATGGTTATTTATTTAGTCTTTATTAATAGATTATCTATCATTTAGTCTTCTCTCCCTATGAATATGTATGTCCCAGAAAATATCCCGTGTCTGTCAGCTAAGGTGGGAAAACTGGTTAGTTTACCTCCTTGATTATTCTCTGCTAATGTCAAATTTGGTTCCAACTTTCCAACTATTGAGAGGCAGACGTTACTTTGTAAATTTAAAGGAAAATGGTCTACAGTATCTTTGAGACCAATTGGTCAATCAATTATTTAGTTGCCTTGGCTTTGCACACAGGTGACATTGTCAACCAGGGAGTGTGTTGGTATTGATGTCATACCAGTGGCTGAGCAGATGTACGCCTATGTATAATTTACCAGGCTCATTTCTGGAGTTCTGCTGTGATCATCTGCCCACTCCCTAGCTTACATGCTTCACTGCTAAAATAGGCTCAAGTTTATGTTCCACCTGAACGGAAACCACAGTGTCTTTGTTAACAGATGGGGTCTCTATTTCTTTGTCTAACAATGATATTATTCACCTGATTGCCTTCATTTGTTGTTATGATCCTGCACGGTAAAGTGATATGGGTTTTTGTTTTTTTTTTTTTTTTTTTTTTGCGGGGCGGGGAGTGCGGGGGAGAGGCATTGGTTATTTACAAATAGGATCACACAAGTAAATATTAACTAGTTTCGTCAGTAAGGTTAGAAAATAATTGAGGAGAAGCATGTAGATTTCACAGAAAGGTTTCCTTGGACTACCACACGCTTTTCCAGTGCAAAGTACGGCGTAGCTAGTGCAGAAAAGGAGAACAAAAATTGATTTTCCTCTGTGCTTTTAAAATTGATCTCCATTTCCTAAAATGCACACCAAATACAATCTTGAGACTGGACATAGACCTTAAACAGTGCTCAGTTCTAATGCAATTACACAAGATACACTATCTTCCATTTCGTCCACACTAATTGGCCTTTGTGAACCTAGGTTCCTCCTGTAGAACTTATAAATACTTTCTTATTTCGGGGGAGTGGGAAGACTCTCTGGATGCCTAAGTTCCTGTTAGATCTTTGTGAAGCGTTCCTTTTTTAAAATGGTGAAAATAGATAAGCTATCTGTCTTTTAGATAGATGTTGAATAGTATTTATTGAAGCTAAAAATGAATACTACTGATACAACTCTACACTAGTGTTATTTTAAGGGAAGTGTACAAATCATTCATTTTGAGCTAAGCACTGCTTTTCCAAATAAAATATTATTAATAATACCAAATCATTTTTACTAACCTCTTAAATTCAACTTGTGGCCTGCTAGAGGTGCTTCCAATACACAACAAAGAGTTCAAAAATTTATAAGCCATGCATGTGATGTATAGTTGTTTATGTGTATGGGATTTGATATGTACTTGAGCACATGGAATTATTTGGCTTTAGAATGGAACCGGCAGATTTGAATCTCAATTTCTGGCCAGGGAAGTGACTCAGCAGTCAAAGAGCTTGTCACACAAGTTCCCAGGAAAAAAAGATGGGATGCCCAGATGTGGGCAGGACTGCAGACAGTCTTGCAGTTCTCCGTGGCCAAGACTGTCAATAGGGAGGTCGAGAGACTCTTTCCTGAAAATGATCACTGGCCATCACCCTGCATACTCTATAGAAGCAGGAACCACTGAGAAAGATTAATGGAGATGGTTGTTCCTTGATGGAAAACCATTGATTGATAATGCATTCAAGAACCAGGTAAGTTGATATCTTAACCGAGGGCAATAGTTTCGGGATTTGGAACCAAGCTTGGGAAAGAAGGATTGACTGACGTGATTAACATAAATTACTGACTATTACAGTAGTAAAAGTTCTATATAACTTTATAAATAGAAAATAGATTCAGTTAAAGACATCTACTACATAAAGCCTACAGCAATGAAAATGTTACTCAAACTAGGAATCAACGTAGATTCACTTTAAGATTTAGCCATGTTCAATAGCAGGTGAGAGGCACACACCAAGGAGATCCATAGGATGTGCTTAGTTAAAGGATGAAGGAAATGATGGGTACAGAGCCCCACAACTGGCCGTTATTCAGAGCATAGGAGATTGTGCGGTGCTCAGCCCTAAAGAGGACAACTATATCGCAGCCTTTCCCCCATCTCCCATCACAGAAAGGGACAGAGAAAGGTTGTAAAAGTGAGAGATATTCCAGACATGGAAGGACCCTTCTCACTGACAGGGTCTATGAAAAATAAAGAATAGAAAGTTGGGCATGGTGGCGCATGCTTTGATTCCAGCACATAGGAGACAGAGACAGGCTGATCTCTGTGAGTTTGAGGCCAGCCTGAGCTACAGAGTTCTAGGACAGACAGGACTGTTACACCAAAAATACTGTCTATAAATAAGTCAGTAAATAAATAAACATTAGAACATTTCTAGGGAAAACAAGAAAAATCTAAATTTGATAGAGGGATTCAAGCTTGTATAATTTGCCCCACATCAAATTTAAAGCTTATTAACCTTTATTTTAAAATAAAATCTGCAAGATTTTTTTCCACCATGTTGGAAATAAATCAATTATGAAATTGATTGAAATTTTATAATTAGCAAAGTTATTTTAGTTGTGTATATTAATCACCATTTTAGCCACTATGTCCAAGTGTGTACATCTTAATTAGGAGTAATGAAAATGGACAATTATGAGTTCATTTGAATTAACATGTATAAAATGTATTGCTTATTTTTAGCTATGTATCCACTTACAGCTTTATACATTTGGGAGAAATGATTTGGGCTAGTATTGAAAAAGCATAGCATGTAATATTGATCTATGAAATATGGGCTAAGGAAATCCTGCAAAAGTTTATTTATTCATTTATTCATTCATTCACTCATTCACTCATTCATTCATTCATCTGTACATGTGGTACTCAACTGCCACAGACCACATATGGAGGTCAGAGGACAACCCTCTGGAGACTCAGTTCCTTCTTGCTCCCTAGTGGTACCCAGGATGGAACTCAGATCATCAGGCCTCTACACAATTGCCTCTGCCTGCTGAGCCATCTTGCCAGCCTTTGCAAAAGATTGCTAAGCAAAGAAATCAAGTAGAGAAAATGAATGAATTCTCAAATTACGCTGAAGCAGATCTGTACAAACGCTTCCATTAGGAAGTGAACTCGGGCTTTGCGTCAGTTCACCCAGTTCAGTTTGCAGGTTCACCTTCACTTATTGCTCGGCTTCCTTTTGATTCTCTTTTGTAAGAAGTAAATCTTTGTCATAAAGCTATTGTATGTAAAATATAATGCAATACATTTAAATAACCGGAAAATTAAATAACTCAGCAGCCATATGTATTGACATTAGAACCATTGTGTTAACCATGAACACAAAGAAAAATGTAAATGTACTCTGTATAATTTAGGACATATCGCTTCTCTATTGAAGTAAGTGTTTTTGTGTGGAAATGAACCATTTTTTTAACAGATTGTAATTACTTTGTCAGTTAGCTTGTATTTAATACTTCAATAACCTAGACACTTCTTTCTAACTTTGACTAAAGTTATGATTTTTTTAAAATTCTTTTTCTTAAGAAGTACGCAATGTAAGAATTAACCCTGGGAATGAATTTGCAAGAGTAGAAATAAGGAGACCAAAACAAATCAAGACAGCATTTTACTTAAGTAACTCGAAGTAGAAATAATTTTAAAGAAATTAAAATAGCAAAAGATTATGTAAATCTATTGTTGGAATGCAGATAAATTTTGATTTTGCTTAAGGGAGATGCCTCTTCTATATGACAAAGCCAGAAAGCTGGGAGAGAAGGCACATTTATAAGCCTGGAATCACTCACAGAAGATTCTGATGTCTGATTTTAGATCAATAGAGCAAGTGTGAAACTCATCGAGGAGCACAAAGGTGAAAACGAAGTAAAGGAAAAGGCCTTCAGAAAAAGCAGATCAGAGAAGTGGCAGAAAGGAAGATAAAAGATCCTTGGCCAAAAGAGTTGGCAAAAGGAAAAGAAGTCTAACAGCCTCACAGGAGGGACCATCCCCTGGGTCACAGCCCAGTACCGAGCAATCATCACAAGAGATTGTTCTTACCACAGAATTCACAGTGGCCGGAAGAAAACGACCAATAGCAAGGAGAGAGAAAGCTCAAGTCAGGCAAGTCAGGGCAGGAAGTGAAGCCCATGTTACAGTTAAGCATTAATAAGTGCGTCAAACTTGAAAAACTAAGCAGCCATGAAACCAACATTGGAACAGTACTGATTTATATAAAAATTCATTATATTCATTTATTTGGGGGCAGGAAGAGGCCATAAAATAGTACTTGTATGGAGGTCAGAGAACGACTTTTTTGAAAGTTGATTCTCTCCTGCCATGTGGGTCACTGATATCACACTGGTCTTGGAGCTTACATTGTCAGGTGAAACAATTTTGTGCAATTCTTCTCAGACTTTCCCTGTAGTCACACTTCTGGGCTTTCCGTGGAGTCTCCTGGAGGACAACGAATTATAGATAATCCTCTTGAGAAATAAAAATAGGAAGGTCTAGAAAAATAATGTGAAGAGACCAAAGGGAGCTACATTAAATTCCAACATCAAAAATCAATTAAAATAATTTCATTGAAAATTTGGAAAGGAACTTACTCTCACTAAAGAAGATTTTTAAATTAAAACAATCCCAAGAAATTCCTATGGTTGAACAATAATGGTCTTCAGCATGGCCACAAAAATGAGGAAACTGTAAAATAGGTTAAATTACTGCTTCTACCTTTGGCATATATGGACAATGTCTTTGCTCTAAAGTCAAAGAGTTAATAAGTAACATCTTTTACATGGTGAACTATGAAGCATTTGTCTCTGTGAGATAGTAGTTACCTGAAAACAATTGGGAAAAAAGACACTCAATTATGCTATAATTTTTTAAAATGTGTTTTCAAATTATGTCAATTTATAGAAAATTAAATTTAAACTGGAGGGAAAATGTTTATTAGATCACCCTGACACTTATATCAAGTTGTGGAAACTCTGAAACATGATGGCAAGGGAGGCCTTGCCACTCCCAAGGGATTAGAGATATACAGGATGCTTTAAAATTTGGGGAGACCTGTCCTCTCACCTCTCCAAGGACTTTCAATAGGTTTCTACCATCTTTGTAATTTTCTATAAATTCATGAATCATCTCTGAATATCCCAAATATCAAAACAAAACTTTATTGGGAATTGCATTGAAAATAGAATTGTATAAAAGGACATGTTCACATTTTTTAATACTAACAATACAAATCTATGAATGCAATATGACTCAGTTTAAATTTTTAATGTTCTTTGGTAGAAATCTATAGCTTTCTCATGTTATTTAATTATCTGAAATAATGCATATTATGTATGATTCCAATTTCATATCATTTTAATTGTCATGAATAAAATTTAGTTTTGAACATTGATATTTGGAAAATAAATAAAATTCTTTAAACTTTCCAACTGAGATTGTTAATCTATGTTTATCTTCTTTGAGATTTCTATGTAACATTGCTTTTATGTAGTTTTTTTTTAATTGTTCCATACAAAACAGTGTTAGGAACTGCAATGACAAGATTGTGTCTCCTAAATACATTCTAAACCTAAGTCCTATTTTTTCATTAACTTTTAAAAGTCACTTTCTGTATTGATTCTAATATAGCACTTATATATCTTTCTAAAATCTATACCAAAGCCTTTGTAAACTTTGAAGCTTGCTTTGTCTTTCTACAGATACTCTGAAGAATTCGGAGGACAAGCTAAATGTTTTCACCAGTATAAAAGTAAGTCTATATCTTACAAAGGAGTGAAAGCTGGAGAGAGATGAGTGTTTGTCTTTATGGGTATCCTACCTCCATCTAGGTACTGGTTGCTCCCTCAGACTAAACTCTTTGTCAGTCTTCATGAGAGAGAAATCCTGAAGGGCCAGATGTTTTGCTTGTTTTCTTCCATTTGTATCAACTGCTCCAGGAGACACCAGGCACTTCAAACTCCAGGTCCAAATATTTTCGATCATTGACAATTTCATTAATGTGTACTACTTGCCCTTTGCATACTCGCTCCTATCGCCCTCCTGCTATCATCTGCCCGTTTATTTTCTATGATTCTCTTCCCACATCTGCCTTTTGGGTTTGTTTTGTGACCCACTAAGTTTCGCTGAGGTGGGTTGTCTGATCATGGGTTTGGAATGATCCGCTGGATCCATTGTGGGTACACAACGGAAGACAGTGATGCGCTTTCTTCCAGAACCTGTCAGTAGCTAATAGTTCATCAGTAAGGAACGGGGCCCCATTGATGACTGGAGGTCCTCATACTTGAAGAAAAATCATAGTGGTCAGGTTTAGATAGATATTTCAGGACCGCACAGATAAATGTGGCTAAAATCACTCGACTGCATTTTAGATTAACGTAATCCAACACCTTGGGCTGAAATATGGCTTCGCCCCGTGACTGACCAGTTTCAACAGGTTTTCTCAATCCCCAGACATCTTCACAGGCCTCAGATGCCATCACCAACCTGAATACAATGCATATGCATTCATAAATTGTACAACTCAAATGTCAATCTCTTCTCAACTTTAACATACCATCTTGTATTCTCATTTTTGAGATGTTAACAGTCCGCCGTCATAAATAGTATGCAATGTAGGTACTAGATTTTTCCACCCCTCTCTGAAGGATCTGCTTTAATGAAATATATTTTAACCTCTGCTGCTTAAGGAATATTTCTCTGAATTTCACATTTCTTGATCAATTTGTTATACAAAGAGAGAGCTTTTTAGTACGCCACATAAAACTAGGTCACAACTCTATAACTATAATGCCTTCTACACTCAAAAGAAATGCCAGTCCACAGAATGTCCTGATAGAAAAAGTGCTGTATATCTCATGACAAATCTACATATGACAGCCCGTGTCAGTCTGCCGACAGGAACTTCACTCTAAAACCAAATGACTGCATTCACAATGTAAACAAAATTTCTCTTATCTTCTTAACATTTAAGTGGAGGTCTTTTATCTTCAGAGGCGCCCTCAACTTTTTACTTTCTCTTCCCTTCTACACTCACCCACTTTCATATTTAGTCTGCTGTTATCCTTGCGTTTGTGGTTCACACGCCCTTGACAGGTTAGACCCTTCAGAAGGAGACTGCCCCAGAAACACAAATGAAGTGATTCACTGTGAAGGCACTGCGTGGCATGGACCCTAGAAACCACAATAAGGGAAGGAGGCAAATGGGCAAAATGTCAAAGTTCCATCCACAGTCACTTAGGCTCAGCCCCTCAGAGAGCTCTGCAGGCTCAATTCGCAGTAACAAGATGGGGTGTTCATTAAAGACTACAAAGGGAAGAACTTCTGACAAGTAAATGAAATGTTTCCTTCAAGCGTGGGGATGACCTTCCATCGAGTCCTATAGACCATGAATGTGAAGAGGGTAGAAGAATGCAAGAAGTTAGAAGTTGGACAAAGAGGTCTAGAAATTAAGTCTCTTCTACTCTAAATCAGTGGCCTTTCCCACGCAAGTAAGCCAGCTCTCTAGAGGTCTCTTTAGCAGGCCCTGACCTAATGTTCTGCATCTTCCAAGAGAACGATTGAAAATGAACAGGCATGCAGAGTTCTCCCTCGTGTTCTAGGAAAGGAAAACAAGTTATACAAAAGCAATTATGTAAATGTCAATATGTTCCTAGAAGTTTCTGATAAATAAAAAAAAGCACTAATAATGTAAGTGAAATGGAATCTGGGTATAACTTCCTGCCCAGTTCAAGGTAAAACCAAACAGACATGTGTGCCAGCCTTAACTAATTGCCTGTAAGAAAATGCATTCATTTAACACATTGTAGATTCCTCACAAGACAGACACCAGACACAGGGATGCATTCACAAGACAACATCCAAGCAGGTACAGCTTTAATCTTATACAACAGACAGACGAAAGAGATACAGGGAGGGGTGAACAGAGGAATCAGTCCGGGTCTGCCTTTGGATAAATGGCACCAAGGGGACTTGTTTACTGGTGACTCTGAGTTTATTATATAATCAAACCAAGTGTAGTTTGATGCTTCCTGGGTGGAACATGAGAGGAATGTTGTAAGGTGCTTAATTCACACACATTGGTTTTCCCCCTTGTGAGGAATCTACAAAGGATTCTGCTCTGTGTTTATTGAACAGCACAGAAGTATCACATGGGGAAGAACTGAAGGATGCTTGACTGAAATATTTAACATAGCTTTATATGGGATTAAGTCAGTGGCTCCAACTGACCCAAAATGACACAGATAACAAACATCATTGCTTATCAATAATATCTGTATGTTACTTTCGACATTTATGCTGAACATTCTTTTTATAAGACTGCTTCCAGCTGACATTTCCTGTTTTCAGTAAATGATTGTGCACAGCACATGTACTAAAGCTCATGCATTCCTCTTGGGTTGTGAGCATGGAAGAGCACAGAACTTAAGATTAAAGATATGCATTGACTTAGATGAAAGTTGATTGCATGGAAAATTCAAGGCAAGTAAGGTTGGTTGTTACATCACTGTTCTCTTAAATACAGGTTAGACATACAGACTCAGTCCTCAGTAGAATATCCAGCCATCTTAAGTCTTCAGTGAAATGAAAGTATATTATTAACTCTAGCTGTGAGGCCCAAATTCCCATCTCTTAGGATGTAAGAGACATTTTTATAGTATTGTATCACCAAAAGTAGGTAAAACAGAGGCTAGAGATGACACATTGGTTAAGGTCCCTTGCTGCTCTTCTGGAAGGCCTGAGCTCAGTTCCCAGCATTCACAGCAGGTAGCTCCTGCTGTTTCTACCTCCATCCCTCCATCTCCAGGGAACCTGATGCCTGTGGCCTCCTAGGCCATTGGCATTCACATGCCCATACTCACATGCAAGTAAACACTCAAACACATAATTAAAGATATAAAAAATAAAATAAAGTTTTAAAATAAGGTTAAAATGTTTTGATTTAGACTTAGATAATTATTTAGAATTTATTTTTTTAAAAATTACTTATTAATTAGTATCTCATGTGTTTACCATGGTGAGGCATGTGGGCCAGACTAGACATGGGAAAGTCACAGGAAGCCTTATTACACTTGCTTCTCTTCTTCCGTCTTTCTATAAGTCTCAGGAATAGAGCTGAAGTCTTCAGTCTTCTGTAGTAAATTCTCTGCTTACTAAGCCACATAGTTGTGGGTGTCAAGCATTGTTGTCAAAACTTATTTTTGTCCTTAGTTCTTATTGCTACTGGATAAAACTTTGGGCTAATAAGAAAAAGAAGCAGGGCAAGTCAGCCTCTTTTCTTACTTATAAAATTCTCTAGGAGTTGAAGCTATGAAGGGAAAATGTGTTGCACAGGATGAAAAATGTTCCACTGAGTGAGCATTCTGTTCTGAGATAGCTCTGCACAGGGAAGGATCAAGAACGGAAGGGAAGTGAACACCCGAGGCCGTTCTCTCACACAGCCTCTGTGGCGCTTAAAGGCCAGCGCAGAGGCGACGCGGCTAACTGTCTGTTCAAGACTGCGTGCTGCATTTCTATAACTGAACCAGGAATATTAGTTGATCTTCCACTGATCATCAATTTTTTTGCTTTTAAACATTCTCTATATTAATTTATGTTTGCCTTTTGATATCATGAATAATCCCAGATTTTTATCAGTACTGGATATCGTAAAGGGCAATTCAAGAGTGGCATTAACAGGAGTAAATAAATACTGCAGTGCACAAAATGTTCTGATTTTACAGAATGGTGCACGAAATGTCTGTGTTTTTGAAAAGTAAATTAACCTTCTATTCCTTAGCCATTTTACATCAAGTCTAGATCACATTTGAACTATTTTCTCGTGTATCGATATAAGACAAAGTTAGGATGGCCAGAATCAAGAGATAAAGACACCATTGTGAAGATTGTAATTTATGCATTTTTTTTTTACGTAGAACACAGAATGTGGATTTAAGTAAGTAGAGGAACGGGGAAAGAGAGGAAGGGGCAAGCAGGTGTGAGGGAGAGAGAGAATTAGAGAGAAAAAGGAGGCTCCTTCAAGAGAAAGTCAAACTGAAAGATTAATGAGTAACTGGAAAGCTGACCCAGTACTCCAGCTGACAGCACAAAACTCTTAACTGAGTTAACAAATTTTAACTTCAATACTTCAAAAAGCTTAATTATGGTTACAAAATGAACTTCAGAGGAATGATTCTTTATCACAATATCCATTATTAAATACTATCTATTGCTCACGATTAAGACATTAAAATACTGTTTTATAGAAATAGTGAAATAGTCTTTGGATTAAATACTAGTATAATATCAAGAGCCCAAAAAGCAGTAATAAATACATTTGTAACTCATTATACAATACTCATTCAATGAGGCTTCTATAGAAATTTATTATTGTTCTTTCTCTAAAAGAATGGATGAAAGTTTAATTAAAATGATCTGTAAGTACATTCTCTCAACTCATTCATTTCTTGCTGGAATTAATCACACTAAATATTTATTAAAGGGATCAATAATTTAAGCAAAATCAGAATGCTGCTTATAAACCTTCAGTCATCAGATGAAACATGCAGTTAGAAAAATCGATCCTTAATAAATAAAAGTTGTCATGGTAATAGTTTCCTTTCTGGCTTCAGAACAAGTTCAAGGCCATGGCACAGGGCATCTGGGGACGAGTGACATATTATATGTAAGACTATCACTGAGCTCAAATGGCATTCCTCAAGGGTGACAAAAGAATTGAGAGGGAATGTGACTCCCACTGTTAGAACCACCTGTGCTGTTAGAGGAATGCAGCAGGCCTTCGGCAGCCCCCCTCATACAATGCCCTCAAGGAAAGAACGCTCATCTCAATGAGCAGACTGTGCTGTGAGGGGCCACGATGAAGTATTTGAGTTTGGTGGGAGCCATGGGATGGGGATCTTCTAGCTGACTTAACCTGAGGAATCTGCAAACA